CAAAAACATTTTAAAAACAAGACCATTAACAGTGCCTCACTGAGCCATAGCCATATTGCAGCCCAAGGCAAAGGGAAAAATCAATAATACCAAATCTTATCTTTATTAAAATTTTGATATTTTGTTGTGTATTTTTTGCATTAATTTTGATTTTTTTAAAACACTGCATGAAAATATTACTTATTTTGATTCCTGAGTTATTCAGTGCCTCTCCTGTCTTACCATGCTCCAGCTCTGGTAAAGTAAAAGCATTTTTGTTAAAATTGTGAATAAGTCAAGGATGTCTCTTGGTACCATTGTTACTTAACCGCCCAGGGAAGTGCAGGGTGAGGTGGTCGGACAGGATGACCATGCACTGAAAAGAGCAGCAAAGTGGTGACTATTCGACAGGGGTGTCATTTACCTAGAAAAACAACATTACCAAGTAAAAACTATTAGGATTTAAAAATACTTTAGTAAGATTTATTTTTTTAAGATTAGTATAGCTTTTGTCCTACATACCAACAATAACCAGGCAGATATGATTGAAGAAAAAAATCCATTCATGACATCCTCAAAAACAATGTATCAAAGAATCAGGTTAGTATGAAACATCTGCAGCTGTGGAGAAAACTACAAAGCTGCGGAGAGACATTTAAGATGTGAATAAATGGTGAGATATTTCTTAGGTGAAAATGAGCATAAAGATCTTGTGTTGTAAGTATGAAAAATTTCTCTAAAGTCTTCTATAATTTAAGGCTATCACAGCCGAAATTTCAGTGGAATATTGGGGAAACATGGACCCAATAACTTTTAAGTTCCTTTGGAAGAATAAACATGAAAGTCACTGGGGAAGATTTAAAAATAAGGAGGGAGAACTTGCCTTATCTAGTGTTAAAACATACTCTAAAGACATAGTAATTAAAATGGTGTAGTACTGTTGCTGGGCAGGTAGAAATGGTGTAGACCAGAAAGCACAGAGCAAATCTAAGTTTATGTAAGAATCTAGTATATGACATGTAGGGTGACCAGTCCGTCCAGTTTGTGGTTCCTGGGACATGGGACTTTCAGTGTTAAATTAAGGTGGTTGGTCACCCTAAGGCATGAGAAAAACAGTCTATTTAGTAAAGGGTCTCAGGATACCTGGGTAAACTAGTGGTGCCCAGACATTGCTGTACATTGGAATCACCTAGGGAGTCTTTATAGTACTGATGCCTGGCTCCTACCTGAGACATCCCAGTTTTGTTAGTATGAGGTTTAACCTGGCCATCAGGATCTTTGATGGGTGGCAAAGTTTGAAGATCACTGGGATGACCGTTTGAGGGAACACTGAGCTGCTTTCTGCCTTATATGTGTCTACTTTTCAGATGAGTTAAATTTTTAAATGTAAAGAATGAAGGATTCCAGAGAGTGGCCAGATTTGCTTCCTGAAAGGGAAAGTGTTTGGCCCCTCCCATGAGAAGTCTGGAACCTTGCAGCCGGGAGTGGAGTGCAGCGTGCAGACCCAGGGAGTTTCAGGGGAGCCCTGTTTGCTGTGGCTCCAGAGCAGGTAAGCAGATCTGGCTGAGGACAGCCCATCTCTGCCCACACCTAGAAAACAGGCTCCTCCGTGCATCTCAACAATGAAGTCCCAAACAGCCAACCCCACTGCTGCCAGCTCCCCAGTAAATCACCTCCCACTGAACCTAATAGTGCCCGGAAATTTGCCACTTGTCGAGAGACCCGCACTCGTGTCTCAGGACCCTTTGTCTCCAGAAGGAGCTAAGGTCACATGCTGCATGTTGCTGAAAACTGAATTAATGTTTTGGAAGGTCTAAATTATACCATGCAGCAAAAATACGGTGAAATGGGTGTTGGGAGTGAAAAATTGGAGGACAAATCCCAGAGATATTCCAGAAGGAGAAAAAGGCCGTCAGAGAGAGAAATGAAAAAGCAGTAACAGGAAGCTTTCTGCAGTTAACGTAAAATGTTCTTGGTGTGGAAAGCGCTCACCAAATGAATTCCACGTGGAATTAATGGAAAAAGACCCTCATCTAGACTTGCCCCGATGGAGTTTCTGAACACTGAGGGTGGAGAGAAAATTGTAAAGCTTTCAGACAGAAGGAATAGGTTTTCACCAAGGTGAAAAGAATTGGATTGGAATTAAACTGCAAATCTACCAGGGCGTGAGCTAGAAGACTGTGGAGCAGTGTTAGCAGACGTTGCCAAGAAGGATGCAGCCCAGGAGTGTCCTACCCAGAAAAGACACCATTCCATGTGGGAGCAGAAGCAGTTCATAGACACAAAAGGAGGATTAGCTCCTCACTAGACAAGCAAACGGTGCAGTTATTCTAATGAGATAAAAATGAAATCACAACAAATACTTTAATTGAAAGAAATACAAAAAGTATAGGAAGCAGTGGTGAGCAATTATAGTTCAAATTACATGGTTCTGTACACCTAGAATAAATTTTTCTGAAAATATTTGAAGGCTTGGAGAGAGAACAGGAAACACTGGTGGAAATAAATGCCCGGTTCTGCTCTGGTTCTTCTACAGTGCCACCTCAGTGTTTGGGCTTTTAAAAACCTGGGTAATGTATTTCTCAGATCAGGGACTGTTCCTTGTTACGGTAATGTGTGTATAAAGGACGTGAGTCTTATGTTGACCTAGAAGGTATTTGACATGGGTGTGGATATGCTTATGTCTATGTGCATGTACAGATTTTATCCCCCAAATGACATAGAATTTGCGGTTAAGATAGTAAGAGTACTGTGCACTATAGTTTATTCTCTGACAAGGGGACCTGCACTGTGCATGGCCCGGTGTCAGGCCCTGGGGAGATGCAGGGACACTGTAGAAATGGTGCCACTCCCCTAGGAACAGGAGCTATGGGCTCACGTTCCAGTAACTGCTGGCACCCTTTGCCCTGCACTACCTGACAGTCCAGGTGTGCGAATTTGGTCACATGTTAGCCACTGCCTTCAGCACGTGCTTTGGAGAGACCACTCTGGGGATTCTGTTCCTGGAGACTGTGTCCAGAAGCATTGGGTTGCTGAGTTCCTCATGTCACTTCCAGCCTGTCCCTGTGGTTGGCTGTCCTCTGTGAATGTGAGGAATCTGTTGTAAAGTCAAGGGCTGCCTTTGAAGCAGCTCAGAGTTCTTCATTGTCTTGTGTCTGCCGCTGTTTTAGTGAATGCTGGACTCCTTGTTCTCTCCCCGTGAACAGGTCTTTGGAATTGTCCTCCCAGTTTCAGGGTTTGGGGATAGGGTGATTCTCAAGACGTTCAGACCCTACAGGGTCCTTCTCAGTGGGGCTCTGCTCTGGGGAAGTGCCATGGATCTCTCAGGATCTAGTGGTGTTAGGAGACGCGGCCATTCACGAGCCCCTGTGGGCTTTGGAGAAAACACTGCCTCTGTTGGTGGTGAACTTGCCAGAGTGAATTCACACGTTGGGAGCATGCGTCTACTTCAGTAACTGTGCTCACACTCTGAGTGTCTGCACTGGGTGAAGCAATTATCTCCTTCTCAGTTCTTCTGGAGCTATTGCTAATGCTGTGACTGTGACCATCTGGTAAACCCAGTCTCACAGCAAGACATATTTGAGCTGTGCTGGGAGCTCTAGGTACACAGAAAAGGAAAGCCCTTTAGTTGATGACCTCCCTGGGGAGACAGGAAGGAGGGAGGAGGATGCGCATGATGCAAGCTCAGGGCCCCGGGCAGTGACTGCCACGAGGTCACGGTGGCCCCTCCCTCCCCAGCCAGTCTGACCCCAGATGCCGTTCCTTCAACCACCCAGATCTCGCTGGGCCTCTGCTCCTCTCTTGTCTCCACTGTTTCTGTTTAAGTTCTCATTTCTTTTTCTAAAAAATTTTTTAGTTTTTTAATTGTGGTAAAATAGACATAACATAAAATTTACCATTTTAACCATTTTTCTGTGGACAAGCTCTCATTGCTTAACTGGACAACTGGAATAAGTTTTTAAAAACAAATGAACTACCATGTGAACAAAAAGCCACGTGTAAAGGAAAAGTACAGTTTAAAAAGCAAACATTTGGGTCACCACTCAGCTTGAGATAGAACATTAACCAGACTTTTGACTGCCCCCTGTGCCTTTTTCCTCATCTAGCACCTTGCTGTCCCCTTGAGGACTGGGATAGGCTTTCACTGGTCCCCCCTTCCTCCAGTTTCTGTCCCCCAGTATCTCCTCCAGGCTGGGTCCTGAGAGATGGTGCTAAAAGAGAAATCCTGTGTGTCATGCGCCTGCTGAAAATCACCCAATGACTCTGTATGGTTTGGGGGATAAGGTGCAAAGCTCTGGGCAGTGGGGTCCAGGCCATCCCCAGTTTGGACCCGTGGGACCTTTGCAGCATCCAGTGGCACCATGATGCGTGCCCTGCAAGCAGCATTGCACCTTTGGTCCCTCTTCACCCCTTGGCCAGATAGTGCCCTCTGTCCTCCTGCCAGAGCCCTCAAGCCCACCACGCTGGGACTTGAGCTGAGCTTCTCTGGATGTTGCTCAGCCAGGGCAGTTCCTGCAAATCCGTCCCTGGGTGAATGCTGTTTGGTTTGGAGGGAGGAGTAGAGGACAGGCCGAGCCTGTAGGGAACAGGGACGATGGATTTAGACTAGGAATACTTAATGTCCATTCTCATTGGCCTTCATAAGGTCTTCTGAATGGAAGCTTCTCTTTTTCTTTTTGAGAGCAAATAACCTGATCTTATGGCCATTTGTCTTGATCACCTGGGCTGCCCACACTAAGTGGGCATTTTACAGAAGTCAGGAATGAGCCTGTGGCTCCAGGGAAGAGGCTGGCACCTGGTGGGCTGTTGGTGCCTCGCCAAGCTCCCCTTCCTCCAGCCGTGCATGTCCCCGCTTCTCTCAGGCACGGACACACGTTGTTCTGACACACGAGTGAGCAGGGGTGGAGCGTTACATTATTTGAGCAGCTGTGCGTTGCTGTTGCTCTGGGAGCTCACGGGTGGGAGACGCCGAGGCTGGGGAGTGCTGGGTTCTGACTCTGTCCTTTCCACCCTTCCTTCCCCAGTGGCTGCCTCCAGGTGATGATGGCCGTGTGAGTGCCCGCCATGGCCCACCGGAAGCGTCAGAGCACGGCGAGCAGCATGTTGGACCACAGAGCTCGGCCGGTCCCTGTCCCCCACAGCCAGGAGCCTGAGAGTGAGGACACAGAGCTGCCCCTGGAGGGGTACGTTCCCACGGGCCTGGAGCTGGCCACCCTGCGGCCAGAGAGCCCCACGCCTGAGGAGCCGGAGTGCCACAACCACAGCCCCGATGGGGACTCAAGCTCTGACTATGTGAACAACACGTCAGAGGAGGAGGACTATGACGAGGGCCTCCCCGAGGAAGAGGAGGGTGTCACCTACTACATCCGCTACTGCCCCGAGGATGACAGCTACCTGGAGGGCATGGACTGCAATGGCGAGGAGTACCTGGCCCATGGCGTGCACCACGTGGACACTGATGAGTGCCAGGAGGCGCTGGAGGAGTGGACGGACTCGGCAGGCCCGCACCCCCACAGCCATGGGGCCGAAGGCAGCCAGGACTACCCGGACGGCCACCTGCCCATCCCTGAGGACGAGCCCTCCGTCTTGGAGGCCCATGGCCAGGAAGAAGGCGGCCACTACTGCCCCAACAAAGAGGGCTACCAGGACTACTACCCCTCGGAGGCCAACGGGAACGCAAGCAGCGCCTCCCCCTACTGCCTGAGGCGCGGGGACGGGGACCTGGAGGACCAGGAGGAGGACATCGACCAGATTGTGGCCGAGATCAAGATGAGCTTGAGCATGACCAGCATCGCCAGTGCCAGCGAGGCCAGTCCTGAGCACATGCCCACGCAGGGGCCCGAACTGGGGCCTGGGGACTCCATGGAAGCCTGCCCACCCAGCGAGGCCAGCTGTGCCCCCAGCAGGCACGAGGGAAGGCCCAAGTCACTGAACCTCCCTCCTGAGGCCAAGCACCCTGGAGAGCCACAGAGAGGCTTCAAGGCCAAGAGCAGGACCCCAGAGGAGAGGCCAAAGTGGCCCCAAGAGCAGGTAGGATTCAGGCTGACCTCAGGGAAGGGAGTGGAGGGTCCAGAGAGCAAGGGACATTCTGGTGTCCATGTGGCCACCTCCCACCCCCCAGGTGGTGTTCTCAGGTCAACAGGGCAGTGGCAATGACAGAGGGTTGCTGGTATTGGTGCTATGCTGCAGATAGTGGCAGGAGGCCCTGGCGACAAGGGGAGGGGGCCGCAGTGCATTTCCCAAGGGCCTTCATATCCGGGTGACACATTTCTGACAGCCCAGGGGCCTTGGCCTGATGGACAATTAGCTGTGAATAATTGTTTTGAAAATAATTATTTGAAGGTTTGATGAAGTCTTGGAGAAGAAATGCATGCTAATGAGGGCAATGGGTATAAGCATAACTATATTTTCTTTTACTTATTGCAAAGTACATGTGTATTCTAATAAACACATTTGAAAAGCTGCCTTTCAAAAAAAAAAAAAAAAAAAAAAAAAAACCCACTGTGAGTAAAGAAGATGTGATTATTGGATTTGTGTAAAGGAACTTCTATTTAGCCAATTCTGTGGGCCGGTTTTATATTTTTTAAAGCCTTAATTTTTTTTTTTCTTGGAAGAGTTAAAGAGTTTGAAAAAATACACACATAGTGAGAACTTGTTTGGGACATAAATCATATTGACTTGCTGTTAGATTTCCAGCACTTGCATTTTGATCCCTTTTGTCCTTTGTAAAGATTCTTAAGCACCAGCTGACTTCACTTTGGGGGTGTTCCTGTCATTCACAGCAATTCTGCATGCACTGGTGCTGTGGATGTAAAGAAACTGCTATTGTACTAGCGGATGTGGGGGGAACACACCCCAAAGGGCTGATGGCTCTGGGCCCTGGTCTGGGCTTTAGGCCAAAGCGCTGCCGTCTCTCTTCAGTCTTGTGAAGCCTGGACTCATCCCCCAGCAATGGCAGTGGCACCACAGGGATGGATGTGGGCTGCACAGAGCGGGTGACATACTGCATCTTGTTGTATGAATGGCATTCCTGGCAAAGTTTGTCAAGGGGAAATTATCTTTAGAGCCTGGTGGGGAGTGAGCAAGACCTGTTTTGCCGTTTTCATGCTTCATGTTAACCAGAGTAATTGGAGTGAAAACCCACAGAGCTCTGGGTGGGAGAGATGGGGAGGAATGAATGCATGGTGGTGGTGGTGGCTGTTTAAGAGGGCAGGTGGAGGGGGCAGGCCCAGGAGGAGGCAGTTCTTCGGAGAAGAGGCAAATGGAGAAGCAGGTAGCTTCTCTCCCTAAGGAGAGGGTGTCCTTGAAGCAGATGCTCTTATTCAGGACACTGGAGAAGCTCATTTAAGCTGGTTAATGACTGTACACCTTTTAAAAATTTAATTCATTCATTCACTCATTTCTTCACAAATTAATTCCATCAAAGGGAGCACCTGGCAGTTCCGAGCCCAGGGCCCTGATGAAGTGAGCCCTGTGTGCTCCTTCTGGGGACTCTGTTGGGCCAGGATGCACATGGGCAGAGTCTTTGCATCCTGCAGACCTGAGCAGCCCATTTCACATGAGAAACTCTTTGAAATTTGACCAACAAGTGCCACTGGTGATAGAAATCATCTTGAAAGCAAGATTCTATATGAAAGGATGTACACTGGGAAATTTGGTGATGCCTTGTTTGAAATCACATCCTGCTTTTCTAAAAGGATTTCCTTACTCCCCCGGGGACAGCCACACTGTGCCAGGAGCCGGCAAAGGCCTGGCCTCAGCAGGTGCACAACACACCTGAATCTGGAGTTCATGCTCTGTTCCCGGTGCCATCTGCAGTTAGTGTAGTGGTGCCCACAGTTGAAGCTGCAGTATATAAAAAATCCTGAGAAGGGAGAAATGGGCACCACTGGCCACCCAGATGTTTAGACTGTGGCTTCAAGTGTGGTCCGTGGTCCAGCAGCACCGGCATCTAGAACTGCTGAATCCCAATCTGAGTGTCAATGTGCTCCCTTTGGAGGAGCGATGCTGTAGGAGACCTCAGGTGGAGGGAGAATCACACAGCATCCCTCACCTCTCTCCCACTCATTTTAAAGCTTGAAAAATTATGCGGTAGAGGTGTCTAAGAATACCGCCCAGCATTTATTTAGTCACTGCATGTAGTACGATACGATTAGAAATGGGAACATGAAAAATACGTTCTCCTTGGTCTGTGCCACCCTAACAGATAAGCTGTTTTTGTTTTTCTGTGTCCCTTTCAGACTACAGCACTGAGCATAAACAATGTGTGTAGCGGTCTCTGTAGCCCAGATGTAATTTTGTCATCCAGCTTTAAAAATCTGACATGTTATAAATATTTCTGCATGTTGACTTGTAATTTTCAGGATTATTTTTACCGACCTTCTGATGTTTCATCGGGCGATGTGCTGAATGGTATATTTGTCTGTACATAGCCTGCTGTGGAGCCTGCAGGCTGTGGCTGGATGGCATTTTCTCTTACACGTGAGGCTGACGTGGACATCTCTGTACAAATCTTCCTTCTTTTGGTTTATTACCTGAGGATAAATTCCTGCACTGAGCATCAACATTGTCCATTTCCCCACAGTGATCTCATCTGATTGTTTCTCCTCTCCTGTGCTCTTTGTCTCTGGGGTTCTGACACTTTCCCATCTCACGGGAGCACGGCACGCACTAGAAATGGCACTTTTGGTTGCAGGTGTTTGCTTTAGTATGTTTTCTTTTAAATTTTGGTCATATTATTTTCATCACCTCTGCGGTGTTTTAAGATGTCGGGGACTCATCTGGCACACTTCTAACTCCTTTGGGTACAGAGAGATTTAATTGGATGGTTCCTTCTTCCCGAACTTGTGGGGGTGGTGAACTCACGGAGGGCATTGCTTTAGGCTGGCTGAAATGAAAAATGAGCCGCTCATGCAGTAGGAAGTGGCGTGTGTGGCCTTTGGAATGCTCTTGTGCTGTAGGATGCTGTGCACTTTGAAAAGGCTCCAGTTTTCAGACAGTTCTCCCACCTGTGCCAGTCCAGTGAGACCGAGAGGTCTGCATCAGGGGGAGGGCATGTAGTTAGAGACACAAAAGAGATGGAATTCCTAAAATTGTAGGAAGACAAGATGGGAAACAAGAAATCTATATATGAGTATTTTTATTTTTTTTAAAAAAGTATTATTTCAAAGCAATGCATGTTTATTGAGGAAAATTTAGAAGATATATGCAAAAAATGTTTTGCCATGGAGCATTGTAGACTTCCATTGTAGAGACGTTTCAAGTCAAAGAGACAAACTACGTCTCTTGGGAAACATAGGCCAGGATTTCCCAGAGTGTGCTCTTAGAGGCGTTCTGTGAACGCAATCCAGTTTGATCCTTATTATTCATGGCTTCTGTATTTGTGAACTTGCTCACTCCCTAAAATTTATGTGTAACCCTGAAATCAATACTTGTGTCACTGTTGCGGTCATTTGCAGACATGGACGAGATGGGAAAAATGTGAGTCCCCAACTCGCGTGTTCCTGGTCTAGGCTGAACAAGGCTCTGGCTTTCTGCTGCAGCTCATGCTGGAAACAAGGGTCCTTCCCACTGTCTACTTAGTGCCTTGTTTTTTGCATTTTTGTGCTTTTTGTTGATGATTTTTTTGTTGATGGTGATAAAAGGGCCCCCAAGTGTAGTGCTAATGTCCAGCATTCCTAAGTATAAAGACCATGTGCCTGTGGAGATGACACGTGGTCAGACGAGCTTCCTTCAGGCATGAGGGGTGGTGCTGGTGGCCGTAAGTTCAAGGTTAATGAATTAACAATATGACACATCTAGTAAAAGGAAGAGGAAATTTGCTGGTTTGTGAGGACACTCTAAAAGTGCTAAAAATAACTGTCGTGTGTGATGAAATTATGGAAAAGATGGAAAAGTGACTAAATTTGCAGATTCATGGGATGACAACTGATATAAAAAAGCATAGTGGACAGACTGAAAACCCAAGAAATTTGTGGTCTTGTGGTCCAGGGTTGGGGAAATGTTAAATTCTTCTCAGATAGTGTTTTACTATAAAGAAATACTGCATATAATTAATTATTTGTAAGAAATATATACAGAGGGTCCCCAACTTATGATGGTTCTACTTAGGATTTTTCAACTTTATGATGGTGCAAAAGCAATATACGTTCAGTCTGCTCCTGAGCTTACCGTGGGGTTGTGTCTGGATAAACCTGTCATAAGTAGAAAATATTGTGAATTGAAACCACACTTTTGACTTATGATATTGTTAACTTATGATGGATTTTTCGGGACATAACCCCATCATAAATCAAAGAGCATCTGTATTAAATAAGGTATCTTTAAACAGAAACACAGTAAAAGAAGGTTCTGCATCGGTCAGTTGACAGATGTGACTGCAGGCTCACAGAAACCGAACCTGGTGTCTCCCGTAGGAGCAGTGGTTCCATACTCACTGATGCAGTGTCCAGGGCAGTGTCGTAGAACATAACTCCTAGGAATGAGAACTGACTCTGTCTAGTTGACAGTGAGTTTGGGGAACTTTGCAGCAAAGCTTTCCCTTTCTAGGAGGCTCACTTCTTGCTTGTGCACAAGTGGCATTAATTCCCAGGAGCACTGTGGCAGTGACACCCACCCTGCTTGACCAGCATTTCCCAAACATTCTGGATCATCAAGCCCTTTCCTCTCCATGCAGGGCCTATCGGGAACATACAGATCCAAATCTCATATCATAGGAGGCAGAGGGCAGGACACATGGCCTCTCAAGATCTCTCCCCACACGGCTCAATTCCAGGATGACTCAACATCAACTCCAAATGGTGACAATGGGAAGGTTGTCACCTTTGTCACCACCGGGACCCTTGGATCCAGGGGATTTAACGCTTCTTGTTTTGCCTTTTGTGGAAAGTCCCTGGGTGATGGTGGAGATGGGAGTGATATTGGTGGTGACAGCCAGCACTGTGTGAAGGCCTTTGGGAGTGTAATCTCAGTACATCTCAGAACAAACCAGAAGATAAGAACCAGGGTTTGTCCCTGTTACAGATGAGGCA